CAACCGAGGCATATGCCCTGACCGGGAATCAAACCGTGACCTTCTGGTTCATAGGTCAATGCTCAACCACTGAGCCACACTGGCCAGGCAATGACTCCTTTTCTGACTCCCCTGTAACTCCATGTGGCTTCCCATTCCTCTGAACCATGCAATGTTGCTCACATTTTTTCCTATGGCTTTTATATTATGGTAAAATTTCCCCTCTCTAAGGGTAGATGGTGAACCCCTTGAAGGCAGGGACTATATTTTTCTCATTGTTTCATCCCCCAATGGGCTAGCACAGTGCTTTGCTCATTGGACATCCTCAATATCTATTGAACTGTGAAGAAAATCATATGTGGTTTTTTTATAGAAAATAAGTGTGAAGGCAAGTGAAGTCATTCTTGGCTCAAGTTTTTTAAAAACGAGGGCTTCCAGTTCATGCAAAATACTGTTACTCACTCTTAACAAGTAATCAACAGCCAGTAAATTAGTCAGCCAGAGAGTGTAATTCAAAGCTGTAGCACACATAACTATGAGTCATGCTGGCAGCTGGGCAGTTCTGTCTTGCTGGTAAGGAAAAGAACATTCATCTGAAAAGACTATGGAGCAGCCACAAAAACGAACAAGTTAACCACAGTGTCAGATGTCACAGCTGGACAAACTGCCCACAGCAGTGGTTTCCAAGCCAGGCAGGTGGCACGTTTATATGTCTGACAGCGGCGAGAGAACAAGACTGAGAAGGCCTATATTCTAGAGCTTCAGAGAGTCAGCAATGCCAAGCCAGTCTCCGAGGGGCTCCTTGTAGCACACTCTTCACAAGGAAGGAGTATGAAGGTATGAAGGGTGGTGTGTGTGTGAGATATGGATGTATGTTTTGCTTTTAACATGGTGCATGGTGCCAGTAAAAGCAGGAAAGTGCTAGTGCATATTAAATAATGTACAAAACTTAGGAGTGTTTTCTTTGTTGTTGGCTTTTCTTTTATTTTTTCAGGGAAAATTCTTGACTGTCCACATTCTCATTTATTAGTAATTCCTTAGAAATTATCCACTACTCTACACTGAATTTTATGTGCTCAAAGAGGAATGAAGCCTATTTCATTTTTTAAAAAGTCTGAGAAAGAATCAAGTTTAATAAACAATCTGTATTGAGTTTTTTAAAAGTTTCTGGGGGTTATCATGTTTGAGTATTTTGAAATATTAAGAATAAGTTTCTCACTAGTAGAAAATTTTAAAGAGGTGAGCATCTGCTAAGATGGCCCTGGGTCCTTTTATTTGATTGGACCCACATACATAGAGGAATGACAAACAGAAATTTGTAATAATCCTATTTCTAGGAACTGTACCAGTTGTGCAAGAAAAAAGAACATGGGGAATAATTGGCAAAACATGGGAGAAGGAAGGAAGGAAGGAAAGAAGGAAGGGAGTGAGTGAAGGAGGGAGGGAGGATGGGAGGGAGGGAGGGAGGGAGGGAGGGAGGGAGGGAGGGAGGGAGGGAGGAAGGGAGGGAGGAAAGTAGGGAGGAAGGGAGGGAGAAAGGGAGTAAGGAAGGGGAATAAAAGGAGGAGAGAAGGAAAAAGGAGAGATACACCATGGGAAGGAAGGAAGGAAGGGAGTGAGGGAGGGAGAGACAGAAAGACAGAAAGAAAGGAAATTGCAGGAGAGCAAGGAAGACTCAGAGAGCTGGAAGGGTTGCAACCGTTGTGTCTGAGATGATCAAATGCGAGATGAAGGCTTTGCCATTGTGGAAGATGATGCAGATAAGGCAGTGTGTGACATTTATGTTTTTCAAAAAGCAACAGAGACATCAAAGTTAAATAGTAACTGAAAACATTCAAATGTGCCACATCAATATAAACCGTTAATAATAGTTAAGTTTCTAATGTCATTTAAGTATAATGCCAATCCTTAGAGACAGGTATTGTTAGACCTATTTTAAAGGTTATGTAATTAAGGGTTAGAGAGGGTAAATAACTGGTCTAAGATCTCATATCTGTGAATGAAGCCACGGTTTGAACCCTGAAGATTTCATCCATCCATCCAATCATTCCATCCATCCATCCATCCATCCATCCATCCATCCATCCACTTCATCCATCCAAACATTTCATCCATTCATCCATCCATCCATCCATTTCATTCATTCCATCCATCCATCCATCCATCCATCCATCCATCCATCCACCCACCTTTCCCTCCATCCTCTTGACAGATATAAGTTGGGTAGTTCCCAACTGAGAACTACCAACCTCCTAGTTACTTTCAGTAGCTGGTGAAGAAAACAGACATATTCCTTGCTCTCAAGAGCTTATCTTCTAGTAAGAAAGGTAATCAATAGTCAGGACCGGTTTGGCTCAATGGATAGAGCATCGGCTTGAGGACTAAAGGGTCCCCGGTTAAATTCTGGTCAAGGGCATGTACCTTGGTTGCGGGCAGATCCCCAGTAGGGGGTGTGCAAGAGGCAGCTGGTGGATGACTCTCTCTCATCGATGTTTCTAACTCTCTATTTCTCTCCCTTCCTCTCTGTACAAAATCAATAAAAATATATTTTAAATAAAAAAGGTAATCAATAAACAACTAAATAAACCAATATCTAGTTACAAAACTTGATGAATGCTATGAAAGAAATGGCTAGAGGGCAGTCATAGAAAATTAAGCAGGGCACTACCAAATTAGACAGCATGGCTCAAGAGGTTCACCGGGGCCTAAAGGATGGGAAAGCACTGGCCTCAAGAAGGGAAACTCATTCCTGGAGGAGGGAAGAGCAGCTGGAACACTGGGGGCAGACAAGGTTGGCAAGGCAGGGAAGGGTCCCGGCATGGGGACTGCTGCTGGTTAGGAATGTGAGTTTTATTCCAGGTTCACTGGGAAGGCAAAGATTGGTTTTAGATAAGCTATTTGTGGGACCAAACACCACAATGACTTCTGTGTAAGTAAGGTCGGAGGCAAGAGTAGAAATGGAGAGACCAGGAAGAAAGCTCTCGCAGTAGTCTTGGACTTGGGTGATGGCAGTAGACATGAGAGAAGGGCACTCAGACATGATCTGGGACATGGTTTGGTGGCAGCAACAAGGGGTCTTGCAGACAGAATGGATGTGAGGGGTGAAGGAGAGGGAGGCACAGAGGATATCTCTAATCCTGGGTACTGCTCTGCCTTGTAAGTCACTTGATTTTCTTAACAGGTTTCTTATATAGGAAGGTGAGCTAGATTTATACTGGTGTTTGCAAAGATGTATCTTCTGTAAATAACTCATGTGCTGAAATCTCAGCTTCTACACCGAGCTCACCCTCTGACGGTAACACCACACTGAGGCACACTGCCCACCCTGCGGTGTGTGCTGGAAAGAAAAGGGGGCGCTCACTGCACCACCTTGGGCGGAAGCACAGCTGCACCATTCTGCTAGGCGAACATAAAAAAGGCACAACTCTCAGTCTCGTCTCAGACTTTACAAATACAGGTAAGAACTCTCTTCACCATGAGAATGAAATAAGATAACTTATGGTAAGTACAGGCATGTCGTGGAAAGCCAATAAATGTTAGACCGTCCCCATCCTTTCCCCGTTACAGTGACGAGGATGCCACCAGCAGGCTGTTGGAGAACCTGTGTAACAGAGGCGAGTGCTGAATTTTACTGGGACACACTCCAGAGGAGGGTCTGCAGATCCTGTTATGGGTTCTAAAAGGTCCGTGCAGGGCAGTTCTAGCTCTCTAAGAAGCATCTTCACTGTGCTGAGTAGAAGAATTGCCAAATAAAATACAGGGCATCCAGTTAAATTTGGATTTAAAATAAATAATAAAGTTTTTAAGTCTAAGTATGTCCCATACGCCATTTGGGACATACTTATACTAAATGTTTTTCATTGCTATCTGAAATTCAATTTTAACTGAGAGACCTCTATTTCCATTTGTGGAATCTGGCAACCCTGTAACAAAGCAAATTTCTACTTTGGTTAGAAATAAATTGGCCCAAGGTTCTCCCATTACAGTTCCTTAAGATGCTCAAACTCTTGTCCGTAGAAGAGGTTATGCCTCTCACCATCATGGCTCTATACTTTTACACCTTCTACATTTTCACATATTTCATTCACATCCTCCTTCCCCCTCACTTTTCCAATAAACATTAACATCCAAAATCTACTGAGTAGCACTACATTAGGTACAAAATTTTACTTTGTGGTCGTAAAGCATGCTGCTGTGTGTGTCCAGTGTGCACATGTTTGTGTTAACCTTTTAAAATGAGGATTAGTGATAATGCATCATCAGGAATACATTTTGTGAGTTTTCCAGTAGCAGTGAATTAAATATGCATCCACATTAATGGACACAATTTAGATCCTAGAGGAGTAGAACCAGTTATGGAATAAACTGAAAGAGAAAAGCTTTGGGTTCATTCCATAGTTACCACCATTGAAAGCTAAGACTTGGAAACCTTTTATTTTAAATTAAACTACAGGAAAAGCATTTGAAAGTCTAGTCCATAATTTTATCTGCCTATGTGCTCCCTTTGCATACTCAGGAGTTTTGTTGTTGAGGTGTTAAAAAAAACGAATAGGCACATAACTATCTGATAAATTGTATTAGGCTAGAGCAGTGTTACTATTTGCTATTGTTCCACAACAAAATAAGGCGCTAGATCCAGAATGAAAAGCAAGATATCAACAAAATGTTGTCATGAAATTGTCAGTTGAACTAAACAAAGTATTTAATAGTTGATTTTCACCCTGGTGCAAGCGCATTTCCTCATCGTAGATTGGTACCAACAATCTCACAGCCTGATGCCAGTCTGAGGACCAGATTCTGGGCCAGGCTCATGGGGAAGATCCCAGAATTCTCTACAACATACCTTCCATATCATAGCAGACATAAATGGAGAGCTCTCTTCCTGCTGGCCATTTTGTGGACCAAAGATCATCTCATTTCCTTGAAATAAAGGCACAGATATTCTCTCCATTCTAAGCATCTGACTAAATCTCTATCAAACAACAGCGCCCCGTTTTAGAAAGAAGAGGACGTGTGCTTACTCTTCTTGCCGGAGGTCATTGACGCTGCGGTCCAGGGAGATCATGTCACTTGCCACCATGTTAAATCCAAACTCTTTAATGCTGGCTTGAACTGCATGTTTGAGTTCTGGTCCCAAAACCAATGGCTTGGCATTCTCTCCATGGCCACCAACCACTCCGTGAGGCTCAGGTTCTTTGGGTTCAAAGTTACCGAGGATCCCGGGGCGTAGCACAGGATCCCGGTAGGTGAATGTCTGAGGCTTAAAAGTGAGATACTGCCTCTGCATTATGTCTCTCTGGTTCTCTCCTCCAGCATGGTGCTCGTGTTCATTTTTGGCCTTGTTTTTTCTTCTAATAGATTCTAAGTCCACTTCTACTCCTTCAACATGAGGCCAGGGTACCACAGGTTTGAATCTGTCATCCCCAGGAACTAGTCCATTGCCTCCTCGGTTAGGCATGGGGTTATTGACATCTCTGTCTTCCTATACAAAAGGGAGGGGGATATACAATGAGTACATGAAGGCAAACCACAGCAGAGTTTATGATACTAGTTTTCATGTCTTAAAAATGGCGGAGGCAACAATAAAACGGCTTAATGCATGAAACCGAAGCAGGCCAGTAATCAGGACTGCCATGAGAAGATACCTTGCAGGGAGTGAAGGGCATGGCAAGAGATAGACTATTTCCCTGCCTTACCATCCCCAAGGAAATGCATTGTTTACTTCTCCCCTTCTAAAACTAACTATCAAAGATCTCTTAACAAAGCCCATTGTTGTGGGGTAGAGCAGTGAAGTTCTAGGACCTTTGACAAAAATAGACACTTAGTAGGTCACATCTATAATAATACAAGCATAATATACTAATTAGACTGGATGTCCTTCCGGATGACCTTCAGGATGAAGCTGGGGCTGTGAGGGAAGCCTGAGTCCCGGGTTCCAGATGGAAGCCAGTGCCAGCAGCTGGGGGAAGGAAGGCCTACTCTCGCATGAATTTCATGCATCGAGCCTCTAGATGTACAATATGTGGTTTTCCCGGCTGACCGATGTATGACAAATATAACTTCGTGTCAGTAATTCAGCCAGATGGTGGCAGCGGTATTAGATGCCACCCCTCACTAGGCTGACTACATGCCCCTAATGGCAGAGGAACAAGGCAGGCATATGCACCCAGCAGTCCCAATTTGGTATTTTCTACTCAGTGAAAATACCAAATTGGGAGTGCTGGGTGCATATGCCTGCCTCAGCTGATTTGAGAACTAATTTTTTTTTAAAAAGCTCTAATAACTGTAACCAAGTCAGTTTGGGTTTTTAATCACACCCAATCCCTTCTTTTTCCCATTCCAGATGTGGCCCTGGGGAAAACAGGTTCTGCATGTAAGGAGACTCAGTAAAGGCTGCCCACCCCCACCCCCTTTTCAGTGTGGACCCTCCTCAGCACGGATGCTGCTCTTCCAGTCCGAGACTCACAGTGCTTTTGCTCCCAAGGTGCAGTATATGAAGTTTCTGCTGAAGCAGTACTGTTCTCTGCATGAGGCAGTATTTTCAACCTGAGCATCATCCCAGTGGCTTTAAAATGTACCACTTTCCCACCCCCAGACTTTATGATTTAATTGTTCTGGGCATCCCGATTTTTAAAGGCTCCCAGGAGATTTCACTGTGCATCCGAGCTTGAGAACCTCTAGCTTAAAGGGAGAGCCGCTAGCTATAATTAGACCAGAGGAATTATAGAGTATGCAGAGCTGGGCAAGAGGCAAGGTGCATTTATAATGTGAATTCAGAACGACTGCAAAACAGGCTAACTGGTCTACCACCTCACTCTACACTAAGATTGTGATCCTTTAATAGATTCAGAATAGAATAGGTACCATCTGACCAAATGTTTCTCCAGTGTTAGAGTTATCTTAAAAAAAAACAAAAAAAAAACCAGAATTGAAAGCTTTGCTTTAAAAGGTACAGAAATAAGGCTTTAGGTAGGATGTTGACAGGTAGGTTGTTATGTACTGGTCGTTTATTTAGGGACAAAGATCTTTCAGAGAGTCCATTAATTCAAATGTGAATCTAGTTGATGTTGATGTTTTGGTAAGAGCTAGCTAAGAACTGATTTTAGAGCTCAGCAATGAATTTTAAAATTTTATCTCATTGTTTAATGTAAGAATATGATACAAAATCCAAAGGATTCAAAAGGGCAAATTGTAAACAGCAAGTTTTCCTGCTTTCCCTTCCGTAGAGGCCATTATAGCCAGCAGTTTCTATTAATTTTTCTAGAAATGTTATATGCCTATATAAACATACATGTATATATGTAGTGAGAAAATTCTTTTTGCACATGGGACATAGAGTTCAACTGATTCATTCATTAAAAGGGAAACCCATAGATGTTATAATTGGTCAAAAGGTAAATTCAAGGAACAGACTAATAAATAAACATCAAGAATACAGCAAAAAGGGAGCACTCCTGACGACTTTCAGTTTGGCATTGTGAGATTGGAATAGATTTTTGGTCAATTAAAATCTCAAAATTAAAAAAAAGAGCACTGTAAAGAATTTACAAGTAGATGCAAAACTGGTAAAATTGGTAGCTATCCAGAGGGCAATAACCAATCACATTCCACAGTACACGAGTTCCTTTTCAATGAACAGGAAACTTTTGCATTACCTTCAGTTTTCTATCATTCACAGGGGTGTAAAAGAGCTCAAAGATAATAAAAGGGCGAGGTAACCTTAGAAAGCTGAGACAGATAATATAACCAGTAATCTTTTTGGTCCATTTCAAAGTTGCTTCACAATTTTTCCCTGATAACACAAAACTGAACATAAAAAAAATGCAACACTCAGCCTGATTCTATAAATATGTTGCCTTTCTTCAGGCATGTGTTATAGGCAGATAAAGCTTCTGGATCAGGCCTTTCTGATCTGCACACCCTCCAGGAGGGACTTGGCTGGAGCCTGACCTGTGAACCTAAGGATCAGAGGGGAAGAGGTAGGAGGCAGTCCTGCCAGAAATCTTATATCCATGAAGTCCTGAGGGTTCTTTTGAGAACCATCTCTTACTAAGGAGAGGAAGCCAGACCTCACTATATTAGAGATGCAAGCACTGAACTGAGAAGTGATTGTGATGTTGGAAAAAGTGTCCATTTCTCCAATTTACCTCCTGACTCTTTCCAAAATTATACTCACTTATGGCAGTGTTGTAAACAAACTGAAATAGAGAAATCATTATAAAACTCTAAGATATTGGACCCCAAAAAGAAGAAACACATTTTCCCCCTTTTCAATTTTTTACATCAAGGCTCCAGTAAATCAGTAACTGGGGAGGTAAAAATGAGAGGAAGGAAATGTCAAAAAATATATAAAAAAAGTAGATTAAACACGTCATCAGATGTCAACATCCATAACCATAGCATCCAATATGTTGTCTAATATCTCATAGGGGAAAAATTACATATTGGAAGAATGTGGAATATGATGGTACACGAAATCAAGATGGCCAAATTATGAAATATACCAGAGGTCCGATGCATGAAATTCATGCAAGGGCCTTGGTCCCGGTCCCTGCCGGCCACCACCACCACAGCCTGGGGCCTCTGCGGCCTCTGCCGTGGCCCCCACCCGCTGCAGCTTTGTCTGGAAAGAAGGAAGTCCGGGAGGAAGTCTAGCCTAATTAGCATATTATGTTTTTATTATTATGGATAGTATAGTGTAGGTTGGCCTATGCCTAGATAAAAATTACAAATTTAAATATTTCTCAAATTCAGCTACCTCACCAGGGGAATATTTAATGGACTCAGACTTCATGCTTATCTTCCACCAAAAACTACTTTGATCTTTTCTTAACGTAAGGGTTCTTTGTCTAAATTTTAACTATTGGTGTTTTCTACAGTTCTGTTAAAAGTCTATCTGTCATTCCACCTTCATTCTGCATTATACTGCTTCTAAGCTAGACAACCCGATTTATACTGATCATTCCTACTTCCATTTCTTTAGCCCACACCACATTTCTGATCTTTGGACCTTAGCGTCAACTGCTTCCTGATCATTTCTGCTTATGTCAACCTGGTACCTCAATTTAAGAAACCACAAATTGAACTTAATATTGACCCCACATCATAAGCCTGCTTCAGTTACTGTCTTTCCTACTTTGGGGACTAGAACCACTATCCACTCAACTGATCAAGAAAACACTTGCATTTCATCCTCACTACCTATTCTCTTTTATCAACCCTGCTGACATCCAATCTCTCATGAATTCCTGCCAATCCTGTCATCTGTACAGCTCCTTCATCTGCCACTTCTCTCCTCTACCCTTACCTCTTAACAGGATTACCACAGCAGCAATAATATTGACATTACAAACACTATAATTTAAGTGCTTCACATTTATAACTTAATCCCAAGAATTAATTTCTACAATTACCATCCCTATTTTACAGACAGAAAATCTGACAGAGAAGTTACCTAATGTCAGAATCAGTGCATAGTGGGGTTCAAAATTTGAATCTAGGCCATCTGTCTCAAGAGCCCACGCTCTTAACCACTATGCTTTATTTGATGTTGCTCATCCTAACACATGCACTCACTGTCTTTCTTCATTATTTTTCTACCCAGTAGCCACAGTGACGTCTAAAATACTTTCTCTTTTTACAACATTTCACCACTGGCCCACTTCCCCCAGGAGAATTCATCCTGCTTAACAAGGTTGATAAGGCTGTTCAGGTTCCCACCTGTACTTATTTCCCCACCATACCTATCATAGCAGGGATTGGTTAATTTTATCAGTAAAGGGCCAAGTGGTAAACATTTTAGGTTTTGCAGACCTCAGGGTCTCTGGTGCAATTATTTAAATAGAAGTCTGCCAATATAGTGCAAAAGCAGCCGCAGACAATATGTAAATGAATGGATATGGCTGTATTCCAATAACACTTCACTTATCAAGATAGGAGGTGGAAAGATTTAGCTCCTGACCGCTGCAGTAGACTTTATGCAATAGACATAAATTCTATGAAAGGATGCAATCATGCTTGTCATCATTGCATTCCCAGTGCTTATCCTGGCACATAAACCTTCAGTAAATATTTACTGAATAAATAAATGAATCCTAAAAATTCTTCTTTGGTCTGAGAGAGATTCTGAAAAGAAAAAGGGGAGAGATAATAGAAAATATGAAATGGGAAAGGGGAGCACAGATAAACTTTCTGGCAATACTTTATGGATTCAGCAAAAGAATGGAACATAACTTTATATTCTCTACACAGTATTGTACTCTTAATAATGTTATGTAAAATTCAGCAGAAAAAATGAATTTGCTCACTTCTCAAAGCCTGTATGCTATTAAATCTGAAGGGAAAACCAAATATGAAACTTGTCTGTCTAGTCCCAAGTCAATTAAGAATAATCATGTCAAATCTTAATGTTATATGATTCAAAGAATGGCTACGAAGCTGTATAATCACTCAACTCCCCTGAGAAGGAAAACTACTTCTTCC